CAAGGATGGGCTGACTTACAAACTCTCAAAATATTACACTCTGGTTTATCAACTGGAACATCCACCTGTCTCCAGTATATGTTGGTCATGTTCTGATATTCCTGTTCCACTGCATAGAAACATGATCTTTGGTTACCAGCCATCTTACACATCTGATTTTAATTTATATTTCAGAGGAACTAATTTCTCTGAAATATTGGAGACTGCAAGTTAATCTGATCTTGAGAGATGTGTGGTCTGGTGCTGCCAAGGGAAGTCGCACTGATGTGCAAAGAAGCAGTRAGGCTTTGGATTGCTTTGGAAATTCACGCTCCTTTGGCTGTACTGATGCCTGGAGCTATATTTTACACTCTATATGTTACTACTGTTGCTTCATTAAATTTGTCATTTTGTACAAGAAACTGAGTTGCAAGGTTTGTTTTGGGGTGGTGGCTGGGGTGGGGAGATGGCCTGCCTCAATCACTGCTTTGGGCTCCCTTGGATAGTGGCCTGAGAATCAAACCATGTCATTTCAAAATAGATGTAATTGGAAGTGTGAATCCATTTACATTTCCAGAATGGTGGAAAAACCCTTGCAGACGGAATATTTTGCAGCCCCTGACTGTTGACTGGTTGGGTCAACCAGAAAAAGCTAGGGCATCACAAATGTGTTTAATAGTGGCTCACACTGCTGATGGAATGGATTTTTTTTTATTTTGTGGGTTTTCTCACAGGACATAGACCCCAAACAAACTAACCCCATTACTSAAAACATCCTCAGATGAAAAGTACTGTAATAATTCCTACCTCATGATCATGCAGTTGTTTTAATGAAGCTGTCAGATGGACTACCATGGAGGGGATACAGACATGGAGAGTCATTTTACACTGTCTTTGTGAATGAGTTCTCCTGCCTGAAAGCAGGTTTAGGCCAAAGTTTTGGATCCATTAAATTTTGTCAATCTGGTAGTTTGCTTCACCTCAGAAACTCTCTTTACCCTGGAGGTTGAARCAGCATTCTGTGAAATTTAACCTCAGATCTAAGTGTGCCAAAGATGTGGTTTCTGACACTGGCAGATGATGTATGTGGGTATAGTTTCACATCACTCTTTCTCAGAGATTTGTCCAAGTTGGAGTTGGTTTTTCTGGCCACTTGCTTCCTGAATTCACCACTGTGGACCCACATTTCATTTGTGGTGATTCAGCTCCTTACAGTGAGCAGGAGGCTGAAGCAATCTACGTTAGAAATGGTGATTTGAACAAGGCTCAAACCAAGATYATTCTTGTGACCCAACTTAGATTTCAGTCCACAAATGTTTGTACTGTTTTAATTGATGGGACAGCATGTTGCAACCAGCGGGGATGTTTTAAACTGGCTTTACTGCTGAGAATTGAGGTATCTTAATATCCTCCTTTGCAAATAAGATGTTTGCTAACCCCAGTGAAACAAAGATTTATGAAGCCTTTGAAAACCCTTAAACTTAGATGCTCCAGTGGAACAAAACAGTARATCATCAATAGTTCTTCTGCAGTGTTTGCTCAAGTGATTGGCAGTGAGTTATGAAGGAATGGTTATTTTTAAATAGACCTGACCTACCAATTTAATTTTAGAGTTGGATCACAGCTTTTCTGAAGTCCAGGAGTGTTCAGATGTGAATTATTGTCATTCCTTTTTTACAAAGCAAGCATTCTTTCCTCTTAATTAATCCCTCTTGGACAAATCACTGTTATGGATATGCCACTGTAGGAAGTATCCAGTGACGCAAGAGGTCTGGGGTGATTCATCCRTGYATTTGCGAGGAGAGTGCCCATCAARAACACTGGGATAAACAAATAGCCCACGTCATTTTAACAAAAGACAATCTCCTYCATCTGAACTCTGACTTGATGTGCAATAAGAACAGACTGACCCCTGGCTCTGACTCCTGTCAAAGCTGAGGCGGCTTTGTGATGAGAAATAGAATTAGCTGCAGTCTCAGTTTTGTTTATTCCCAAGAAAATATGTTTGGTTTACCAAATTCTCCAGTTCCTTTATTCATTTGACCAGTAGATTTACACAGGGAGTGTGCACACTAAGAAGTACACATCCTCACATATTTTCAGGGCCTTAGGCAGGTGAGTCAGGTACTAGGTTCAGTGGGGATGTATTTTCTTTCAATAACTGGGTATTTACACACTTTACTACAAGGAAATGGCTTTCTATAGAAAGCTTAGCTCTGTAACTTTGTCRTGGTGAATCACATGGAGCATTGGAGGAAATGTGAAGGAAAAAGCAGAAAAAAACCCCACAACTGCCCTCCCCCCAAATAAACAAATGAAAGGTTAGCAAAGTTTAGCAAAAAAAAAAAAAAAAAGTTAGCAAAGGTTAGCAAACCACAGGTTTTATAATACCCTGCCAATTACCAAGGAATGGCTTACGAAGTGATTCTTCTTGCTTAGCAAAATACCAGGGATGAAACATACACTAGGGAGAAAGATCTCTTCGAAGCTTTTTAGAATGAAGCACAGCTCTTCTTGCTTTGTCACGATGTTTCTCTCACAGAGCAACATCTGCTCTCAGGTTATTTCGTTCCAAAGGCAGAATAATGTAGAATTTTTTGAACTTTAGCCATTCCTTCCCTCCTTTTACCATGTCAGAGAAGGAATGGGAAGAAAATCTCCGTGAAGGTTGTTAGAAYAATCCTAGTTGTTTTGTTAACCTGAGGACAAGTCAACCACTGTCTTCCCTGGAGTGGGTGCCAGCTCCCAGGTCCCTGCTCTAGAAGATTCTACAAGGCCTCACTGCCCTGTGTCTTYTCTCTGTGCACTCTTGGCACAGACAGTACTTGGCTTAAGAATGAATGTGCACTGTGACAAAACCCCTATAGCCATGAGGAGACATCATTGCAAACAATACCCCTGCATTGTTCAATTCCAGAAAAAAGGAATGGAGGAGGCATRTCAAAGCCTCGATATGAAGATTAATTTTATTCCTGTGTGTCTGGCTATTTATCAGATCTGCTACTGACTGGCAGGGGTGGTGTTTTTTGGTTTTTTTTTGTGGTGCCATGCTATTCCTTTGTGTTCTTTTGTGCAGCTCATGGGGCCATTTTCTTCCTTCTCTTACAGATTCCCCAGGTGTTCCTCCAAGTGCCAACGCTCATCATCTTTTCAGAGGGTTCAGCTTTGTTGCCTCTAACTTGGTGCAGGAGCCTGCACAGCAAGATGTGCACAAAATCACTGTTCACCCAATTGTGCAGGTACTGACGCTGGTTATATTTCACATCTGATGTGCAGATAGATATGTGCATGGTATATTTAAACTGCCCAAAGTTMTCCCTGGTATTTCACAGCTACCTGGTGTAGGAAGGAGATGTTTTACATGCAGCATGTAGGTGTTGGAAAATGAGACATTTTCGCGAAGGCTTTTATGTATAAAGCGTTCCTCACCACCTTTGCAAAAAAAATAGGAGCTGCACTTTGTCACAACTAAAATGAAAAGTACTTCTGAATACCTGAAACATGATTCAAGTTGTGCATGCAGGGTGGGTGTTGTTTTTTCACTGAATTCATGCCATTCTCAACAGTTTAGCCCTGGAATATATGATACAGTCTGTGCTGGCAAGGGGGTTTGATGAATTCCTGCTACAGGTTCCCACAGACAGAGAGCCCAAGCTCCAGGGTGTGAGAGGCCACCATATTCCTGTTGCCATTGCACAAAAACCTGGGTGTACTCACCTAAACCAGGGTGGCTTGACAGGGGAAAGATGTGCCAGACACTTGGTTCTTTGCTGCCATTCTCCTAAAACAATCTATCTAGTTGTACTTTAAACCAGAAATAAATTGCTACAAAAGAATCAATACATCAGAGGAGAAGTGAATAGGGTGAAAGAACTAGGCTGCTCAAAGATTCTGCAAATTTTCTCACTAAGAAAAAGCTCCYTCTCCTACCTCAGCCACAGGCACACCTGCCTCAAAGGGGGAGACCCTGCCTGTGGTTTTCATGGCTTTTAATGTCTCTTTTAATTATTTGCAGTGAATTATGTCATATTCTTAAAAATGCTCTGGTGCAACAGTAAGTGAAATGTGACCCAAGCAATTACATCCCAGAAATGTTACATATATATATATATATATATATATACACATATCTTACTGTGATTTATTTTGGAAAAATATATTGAATATTAACACATGCATGTCTTTTAATTTACCAGGTTCTGTGTGGACTTTGCTAGCAAGGTTACATTTTTAGACAGAGGATTATGGAGGATTTTAGACGTGCCGGTCAGTTCTTATGTCCTGGGATGGAATTTGCAGGAGAGACTCTGATTTGGGGTTCACCATTTAACCAGTCTACCTGCCCAGACATTTTCCAAAGAGCATATGAATTAATTGCTTAAAATAGTAACTTCTCTCTCACACAGAAACCACAGATAACATATTCTAGACAAGACCTCCAAYGATCTGGGAACACCCCCCATATATAGGATATCTCTGAAGACTGTGAAGCTATTAGTATTTGATAAGTATTTTATAAGTTACTGCCCRTCGGTTGTTAGAAATCAGTTTATATTGTMAAGATATGTGYRTTTGTCAGGAGATTTGAGCCCACAYTTTGCTGTGAATTTCTAATAGATSGTGTTTTTCTGCATTCCAAAAATAGTTTAGAAAATCTCTAGTTTTGCCACTACTTCTRCATGGACAATTCCAGCTTACAGAGAGGAAAAAGGTAAAAAGGGAGGAGACACACTTATTTRAGTAAAGGGTTTCATAATTTTTTAACTGAACTTAGAAATGCTGCTAAGGACAAGAGAGTTCTGTGAAGAAAGAGGAGATCAAACACTTTCTTCAAGGAGAGACTGTCCTTTGCTTTTACATATTCATGTCCTGATTATCTTGTTTACTTCTCTTGTCTTTCCTTACAGCAGTTACATGGGAACAACATTCATTTCACTGATGGATATGAGATCAAGGAGGACATAGGAATTGGCTCCTATTCRGTGTGCAAGAGATGTGTCCATAAAGCTACAGAAACAGAGTTTGCAGTGAAGGTGAGAAAGCTTCTGGTAGATGCCAAAAATKTGGCTGAGACTGCTTTGCCAGCCAGGGCAGCAGTGTGGTCACTGGATTGTTTTGTTGGCTTATTTCTTGTTGCTCGTGTTGCCTGGGATTTTTCCTCTTTTGTAAGATGGCAGGTTGCATGGTAAGTCATTTATTATTTTTCACACTTCAATCTCAACAAGTAGAAGTCCTCAGTGGAAAAAAACTTTGCTGTCTTGCATGGAAATCCTGTTAATCATTTCAGCCATGATCCTTTAAAATAAGATTTTTAACATATCCTACACTGAATCATCATAATTAAAAAAACATAACATATAAAATTATTGCAAAGTGGAAAGATGATTTATTCTTCTTTCTCAAGTTGTTTAGATCTGACTTTTTTATGGTAACTAGATTTGTCAGTGAAAACCATGATCACCTGGAAAAACTCAGACTTCTTTTTGTTTTCCTGACATTCAAAACCAATACTACTAAAATGAGCAAAAGTCAATATTCAGCAGATATTTGAAATATTTATTTAGTTGGGCATTAAAGACAAGTYGGTGAACTTCAGACTTGGTCAAGCAATGGTGCATAAAATGGAGTCACCTCAGCCATAGAGGCCAGGAAGCTGCTAAGATTTTTTTAAGAGCCTTTTCTTTTATTTAGTCTTATTTTCCATTACTAGACTGATGGCAATGGAATACCCATGAATATTCATGAAACTTTTAATATATTCTCATGGTGGCCACAAAAATCTGGAAAACACTRTTAACCTACAATCTGCCAATGTCACTGTTCAAACAATAGTTGGTTTTTTTAGGCTACACCATAATTAGGAGCATGGACTTGCCAGCAGATCTGTGGGCTTGCATATGAATGAGCTAATATTTTAATTTCTCATGATTGAAAAAATTAAGAGTTTTCTAGAGTTTTCAGTGCCCAGGTCATTTGTCAACAGATGGCATTATATTATAGTAGGTATAGGTTCTGTATCATTTAAATAAATCCGTGATGAACAAAACCTATGCTAAATTAAACCAACAACAAATTTTTCATTTTTATCAAGTATTGTGGACAGTCTTATCAGTGTAATACARCMAGTGTGAAACCAAAATAGAAAAACCTYRTCCCTCAAAGATGTCTGAGTGCTCAAATGTGACAGAGCTCAGCAGCTGCRTGTTTGGARTACCTCAGAGGAGCCAGAACAAAGYCCATGCATGGAGACACTCAAAGCTCCAGAAGAGTCAGCACTGGAATTGCTGGGTTTATGCTCTTTCCCATTTTTATTATTATTTCCTCTTTTTATTCCTTTCTTCCTCCACTTCTTACAACTCTATTCCTGTCATGTAAATATGCCTTGATTTTGACTGCCACTGTAGGCAACATGTGCAGCGTCTCAGTTTCTGGCACAGTGTGAGTCAAAAGTGTAGCACAGATTTGGGGYTGGAGACAGTTGGTGGGTTTCTGTTTGTTCTGTCTTTCCAGCACATTTAGTGCTGCTTCTTTGATTATTACTCCTACCAATATATTAATTTTACTTTTCCTTCAATTTTATTGTAATTTCATAATAAGATTATATCATTTTGTTGTCAGAGTAGCTCACTTTCAAAAAAATTTCACAATGCCACCCATTTCAAGTAATTAGATAGCACAGGAGTTGCAACTGATATTATCATAATTATATATCAGTCCCTTTTGACATGCATCTTTTAACTCTCTCTATAAAAATCACTGTAATTAGGCTCTTTTCATTTCTGGCAGTAAGTATAATTTTCTCCGTACTCTCTAATACATAACATTCACAGGAAAAAGTATCTGCAGTGATAGTTTGTGTGATAGGCAGCAGCCCCACTTGCCTTGCACCACCTCATTAAAAGCTCCCTCTTTCAGATGAGCTGCCAACACTTCCGAGAACATYATCCTGTCACCCCAGGGGAGGCTGGTGATAGGGAAGGAGTTAAGGAAATTGCGTGGTGGCATCACTGCAGGAAGACACACATCATGTCACTGAGTAAATAAATAATCCTTCCATGGAGACTGCCACTCACCTTATTTATTATTGTTGGCTGGTGTCATGCTGAGACAGGAGAGCACCTGGCCAGAGTACCTTGAGTCAGAGCTACAGTCAGAAAAGCAACACCTTTCCAAGCCCAGAMGCAGAATATATTTATTAAAATTCAAAACACTTCATCCCTTTTCCTTTTTCTGACTATCTGACACTAGTTGAGGGGCATCTTGTAGAAATGATTAGGTGTCTAGCAGCGCAAAGAAGTTCTTTGCTGGTGTTGTAAAAGCATTTGAACAGATCTAGAATTTCACTCTTTTCAGAGCTCACTGAGATTAGGCACATTGCTCACTGAGGAGCTTTTGAAATTACCCCCAGACACCCCTCTGCACCTGGAGGCAGCTGTACTGCCTTTGTAAATCCCGAAGAAGAGAATTATCTTCCAACCTATTCCCTGTTCTTCCATGTCATCTGTAAAAATGAAATGCTAATAATAAACTCTAAAGCTATTTTAGACATGCCCTCAGGCTCCTAACTGCAATATTTCAGAATTCAGACATATCTCCTCTTCTGAGAGCATTTCACCACCACACAGGAGAAAACCCTGTAGACAGTCAGATTTCCTGCAAACTCTGTCTACCCTGAAACTAATAGGCACCTATCTAGGTCAGTGCAGGTAGATGTTGGTTTAGCAAGTCTGTGTGTCATATTCTGCTGCATGTATGTACTCTGAGGAGCTATTAAAATTTTACTCTTAACTTTCTTTCCATTTCATTCCCAAGTGGAAAAAAAAGTAAAAAGTTCTGAAATACAAGTAAGTATATTGTTCATTCTTCTGAATCACGGAATATGATGAGTCTGATACTTTATAAGACTCTGGTAGGAAGAAGAGAGATGGGAAAAAAAGAATGTTTCTCTTCTGATGGACCTCTACTGTGTTTCAGAATCTTGTGGTATAATATTGATCATCTTGACTGCAGCAGGCCTAATGATTTTTAATAGTGAAGAGAACAGGCATTGTCAGTCATAGCTACAAGCTTCACATGGGTATAAATGTAATGATGAGGTCACAAGCAAAGCAAAATCAGATCAAAGTATTTCAGTAACATCAGTATCTGTAGAAAATAATTAATTAAAAGAATTATGCTAGGGGAGATGGGAGGAGTTTCTGTGAGGGAAGAAAGTTTGCAATGGAAGCCTAAACAGATCAAGAACTCCTGTTTGGAGTTCTTGGTGAGTCACATTTTCCAAAACTTGCCAGAGATRGCATATTCCAAATGTTTTTCTTTTCTTAAAACTGTTGCACAGATTTCAAGCTTGGAGCACTAGTGAAGCTTTCAAACTGGATTTTTGGATGTGCTTCTTACTGACACCAGATTAAGTTTGAAAAGGACTTGATTTCATCTCCCTGTTCCTAAAGGTTTATCTATACAGATTGACTCCTGACCTCCAGGAGAGWTTACTGGTGGATAATAGCCAAGTAGGAATTTCTGCTTCTGGGCCACTTCTACCAACAGCATGGTAACTTCCCCAGACATTGCAGAGGTGGATGTCTTAGATGCTAGATTCAGCACCTTGACATCAACTGCCTTTTTCTCCAGRTGAAAAGAATATCTAACTGGTTAAGTCTCATGGTTTTTTAGTCYCTCCATGCTGTTAGAGGCAGGGCAAGCAACCAGGTAAAAACACTGGATACACATTTTTCCCTCCTGTGAAAAAGAAACACAGTAGATACAGTCCCAGTTGACAAGTCCAGTTTTGCAGATGCCAATATTACAGTGGAATTTGGATCTTGAAACCCATGTGAATCTTATTATTTTTTCCTATCTCTGTAATGTACTAACCAACYGTTTGACTCCAGATGTTCCATGGTTGTGAGCAAAGCCAAAGTTTGCAATCCATGTCTGCCCCTGCGATACAAGTCAGTTTTTGCCAGAGTCCCAGTAAATTTTTCAGCTAATATATAATCCTGGAAATTGCAAAACACTGAAAGCACATCTATCTAGCACATTTTGGTTTGTGCAGACTGGAGAGAAGGTGCATTTTAATTAGCTACAGAAATTCGATACCAGCAGAGAAGTGATGTCAACGTGCTATCAATAGATAGAAATCAGTCACTCGTGAGAGCTCRTGTTAGCAGGCCAGTGTAATCAAACTGGTTGTACATCATATCTATTTATCTGCTAGTAACATTGAGTGACATAGTGACCAAAACCCGTGTAAATTCCCGAGTTTTTTCATCATTTCCTTAAACTTCATTTTCCTCTTCCATTGATGTTCACAGTCTTGGTTTGGTTGTTTTAAGGTGGTTGGTGTAAATTGATAAAATTGCACTCCAATCTGAAGACAAGATGTTACACAGTAGTATTTAGTGGCTCTGCATTTTCTCTTTAGCCTGAATGATGGTTGGGTCAGGAGTTTAGCGCTGAATGCAGTAAAGAAAATAGGAGCCTTATTTAGTGAATAAGAAAAAAAAATTTAAAAGGAAATAATCAAACATCATTAAATCTCCTTGAAAGTTAAAGTGTGTGTAGATCTAGAGAGATTTGCTTAAAATTGTCTCTCCTTAACCACAGAAAGTCACTAAAGTGAAAAAGACAGTGAAAATTTCAGGGAAGGCTTTGCATCTATTTTTGTCCATTTGTAAGGTACCTAGTGTCTGGTGGAAAATGGATAAATATATCAGTATTTAAATAGGCAAGTCAATGGAAAGTTTGCTGGGTGACCTCAGATTTCTTGGCCCTGAGCCTGCCAGCTTGTCAACACCACGAGATATTCAYCCACTGTTTGTCCAACCTTTCCCCGCTCTGCCTGCACCCAAACATGGTACAGGGGTCACAGCCCAGGGAATGTGCAGCAATCTCCAGGTCASAGTCACTGGTAATGCATCCCCTTTAAATTTAGCTTTGAAATTGAGCAGAAGTTACCTGATGCTGGAGAAGAGCACTGTCAGAAGTTTGCAAGAGATCTTTTTGTTCCGAGGTCTCTCCCAAGACATCTGGA